TAAGGTCATATAAGTGCCGAAGATAAGAGGTGTTACAAGAGAGTAACAAACACAAAACAGGAAGAGAGATGAGGATGACAGATGTTTGATAGGAAAGGAGGAGCAAATAACACCAGAGCATCCGCCAACCACCCGCTACGAACGTCAAAACAACAACAGACAATCAGTGCTGGGAACAACTAAGATTAGTTTAGTTTTAGTAAGAGTTTTACGGCACTTGCAACCCAATAAGGTCATATAAGTGCAGAAGATTAGAGGTGTTACAAGTGAGTAACAAACACAAAAAAGGAGGAGGGGAGATAAAGACGACAGATGTTTGATAGGAAAGAAGAAGCAAACCACACCAGAGCACCCGCCAACCACCCACAGCTGGAGTAAAGTGAGAAAGGAGTCATGTCAAATTAATACAGGTAGCTGCACTGATAGACTTTCCAGTAGTAAAGAGAAGCACAACGACACAATAAATCATAGTGCACGGAAGAAGCAAGACAGACAGAAACAACAGAGGGACAGAAAAAAAGTAGGACCTGCAGACAGTGGCAGTGGCACCCTCCAATCACCCGCCAGCACTGATTGAGGTGTTTCAGAAGAATGTCATGTTGATAAGGAGAAAAAACAAAAAACAATACAGGGATGACAGCTTCTACATTGGTGGCCACCAGAGTTTTATTTTTGGTTTGTCATGTTTACTCTTCTGACCTAAAATCGGGCATTTTAGTTGCTTAGGAAAAAAAATATAGATAGATCTATGTATAATTGTTTTCTTCTTTTAAAATTTAGATGCTTTTACGACCCCTTCCATACTATATTTTTAGATCATGTAGAGGACAGGCTTCCGACCCTGCCTGTCAAGGCCAACCAGGGACGAGAGGGATACAACACCATAGCAAAAAAATAAAAGAGAAACTCGATAAAAATTTCTCCATTATGATAAGGAATCGAACTCAGGTCTCCTGCTTGCAACAACGAGAAGCCTAAAACTGCAACACCACAGAGCCCATTTAACTCACATAACTGCATATATATTCATTTAATGTTAGACGCTGGTAAAATTTTAGCATAGCCATTCACGTCTTGTTATTCATGCTAGGTTTAAAAAAAAACAACCATGCAACATCCACCAACCAAGCACTCTATGACTCACATAGCTATAGCACACATGTGATACAACAGCGTTGCAACTGAAAGATCAATAATAATAATAGACATAAATTATCTACATAGTGAAGTGCCTATTCCAGTGGCACTCCCAGGTCTTTATAGTGCACATAACTAAAACAAAACGATTATTAAGTCATTACGCATAGGGCAAACAGTAAAAAATTACACACATACACACACAGACTTCCCGCCACCGCTATCTCCACCCCACCCCTCCGCCTCCAATTCTCCTCTCACAGTGAATCTCCAAGTTAGTAACATTTAAAAATGCATGGCTGACACTTTCAAAAACGCTGAGCATGTACAGACGATACAATAACATGGAAATAATACACACTCAAACTTTACACTTAAAAGAAGACACAAGACCTTCCCTTCCTTGCCCAGCTAATTATGCCCCTACCCCTGGCAGACAATTCTTTCATTTTCAGACAACAACAAAGAGTGAATGCATTTTCTCTTGTGAGAATTTTAGGGAGCAGCACTTGCACAAAAAAAATAGGGCGTACAAATGTTGAAGATTTAAGGTGTTGATGCTAGGAGTAACAAACAAGAAAGAAGAGTCTAAGAAAGAGACATTTAATATTAATATAAGGGCCAGAGAGTTTTACAGTGTAAACTCTGTAAACTCTCTCATATATAGGAAGATAGATTTGACAGGAAAAACCAAATTATCTCATGTGAAATTCTTCAGAAAATATGAGATTGTGAGATCTCAAATGAAAAGACATGGATGACAAAGCAAGGCACATTGTAAGTAAAACCATTTACTTGTGTTTTTCTCTCATCGGCAGAAGAGACAATAAACTACGAGGATAGATTGTCAGGTTATTTGTTGTTTATTTGGGTGGGGAAGGTTTTTTTGTTTAACTTGAGCAAGCTCTTCCTCAACTCACAAGACCTTTTGCAGCCTAAAAACAAAAACAGAGAGCCACAACAGCTGTGTGTACACTTCCTTTTATACATCCTGTTAGTGCAGAAATATATGAGAAGCGTTTACCAGGCTGGGTTTTTTTGCTTTTTTTTTTC